CATGGGTGTCGGTGGCTCCGGCACAAAATCACTTGTGATGGCTGGCGGTGGCACAAGTTCACTCAACGGTGCACTGTCAGTTACGATTTATCAAGATGTGTCTCAGGATCACGTTTGGTGTTAGGCTAGGTTTGGTGTGGTATACATATATATATATATATATACTGTATACATATATATGTGTACAAATCAATATTCGGATGCTATATATATATATATATATATATATATATATGTATATATATATATACATATATGTAGCTTTCGGGTTTCTGTGTATACATATATATATATATATACACCAAATATTTAGTTTCGGGTTTATGGTTAAAGGTTGTCTTGGCCTTGCACTAGAGTTTCCCGGACTGCTCGCAGTGGGGTTGCACCGTTGCAGCAATATGCTTGGAAACCTGCAGGAACAAAGAGCATGCATATATACATGTAAACAAAACATATCTCTGTATATATATATATATATATATATATATATAAGGTACATACACAGTGCCTGCATGCTCCCATCCACTTTTCCTATATAGTACCTTTTTGCAGATATATATATATATATATATATATATGCATATATATATATATATATGAATCTGCAGTCAAAGTAGTGGGTCGCTCGGCAGGGCCAAGAGCTCGCCAGCAGACTCCATGGCTTCCGCCGGGAGCTCCTCGCTTTCCTGCTTGGGAAGGAAATCATTTGAACCCAGCGAGGTTTTGAGTCAGGTCTTGCAGGAACTCAAAGAGCTGCCCGAGTTGCCATCTGGGACGAGTCGCTCTGCTCTACTCCGTTCTGCTCCACATTATTTCTCCACTTTAACACCATTTGTAGCTATGGCTCAAGGTTTAGATCTTGAGGCAGAGTCCGACTTGGAAGCTTGGAAGCCAAGCCGTCCGCAGCCCAAGCTTGGTTTACCTGTTTACCTAGCGCCATTGTTCTTCCGCCGTGTTGGCGGATCCAGAGTTTCAACTCACCCCGAGGGCGGCGGTGAGCATGCGGGCCAATCTGGTTGTGATCGAACTACACCATAACTGGCAGGAGGTGGGAAACGAGACCGTGAGGGTGTGGTTTAAGCAGGTTGCAGCGTGGAGCAAATTGCACATCACCGCGACTGGGACGCCAGTGGCCGACAGCATCCCCCAAGAGTACCTGAGGCGTCTGCCCGTATGTCTTCACCTGCCTCCGACAGCTTGGAAAAGGCAAGCTTGTCAGCTTGCAATCTGACGAAGGGACACCTTCCTGTAACCAGGCTGAGCGGGTTTGGTCAGATACCTGAACAAAGAAGCGATGTAAGCCTCATGCTTCTCCCAACTGATCAAGCGGCAATGCATAAGCCACTCCCCTGCGACGCAGGGCATTAAGGACCTGCAAAAAGCCCTTAATATCGCGATCGTCCATACCAGTCGCCTCCGCAACCTTCAACTGAGTAGTTAAGGGCTTGATGTTCTGAACCTCATCCTCACGACTATGGCACTTCTCTGGACCGATGTACTTCAAGCACCGACTCTCCCCTGAACTGCCATGTCAAGCAAAGCATGACTCGGCTCAAGCTGTCCAGTGAGCGAAACTCCTGCGAGCTGAGTCCGAAGCTGATCATGCGAGCATTACGCTCAAGGCAGGCTGGAACGAGTTTGGTGCGCCGGGTATTGTCCTTAGCCACTTTGGCCACCAAGAAGCATCTACTCTGGTCTGCTCGAAAAAGGTGCCAGCTGTGCGCCACACTCTGCCTCATGTTCTTAACCGATGCTGCTGGACTGGTCAGCATGATGAACGGCACGCCTGTGTCTTCTTCCCGCTACGGCAAGAAACAGGCTTGCATAGGGCGGTGGTTTGGTGGGGCAAGGTCTACGCCTACGCGCTATGGGTGCTCAAAGCCTTGCTCCCGGGCAAACATATCATCCTATCGGACCACGATGCGGCCCCGACTGCGCTGTTCGAGGTTGCTGACTTGCAGGATCTGTGCCTGGATACGCGGTGTTGGAATGCCTGCCCTGGACGATACAGTATGGTCCTTTGCGCCCACCGTGCCTGAGGAGCCGACTTCATACGGAAGTTGGCATTTTGCCGCAACACATGCGCGGTCCAGGGTCTTGGCAGGCCTTTGTGGACGCTTGTGATGGCGAAGGAGGCGGGAGCACCATTGGGGACTCGCAACTCTGCCGCCGGTTTGGACTGTCCCCGACGGTGTTTGTCCCACTCCTGCTGTCGAAGCTTGCGCACCTGGTGACGCTGCCACGTCCCGGAGCGTCGGACGGCAGAGCTCTTAGCAGGTACTCCACTCTTTGGTGCGCAGGCACGACACAGCGGAGATGTTGTCACTTTGTCACTGCTTGGGCGTACCTGGGGCGGTCTTGCAGCTGCCTTACTGGCACCCGAATGCCCTGCGTTGCTTCAGCGCGAGCATGAAGACCCCCAATCCTGATGACTCACTACGGGAAGTCTTACAGCCGCACGAGGAAGCCTTGGGATGGGCAGAGGGGCCCATGAACAGTGTGCTAATTCCACTCTTTTCGCCTTGAGCTCGAGCCACTGCAGGGTGTGCAGCCTACCGGGGCCCTATCTCTTCATGGCCAAAACGGTTCCCCGGAACTGTGTTGGCCCGGCATTTGTGCGCGGCTATGGAGCCAACGGCAAGGCCCTGCTGGCACAGCTGGAGCGTCTCCGCTCTCTGCCCACCCTCGCGGAGACACTGCGGCGGGTCCTCCCCTTCCGGCGCACAACGCGGCCTCGCTTCTCGCCTCACATGCGCACATGGGCGCGCTGGCGAATTTGGGCCCTCCTACCAGCAACGGAGTTGGAACGGGTGGCGGCCGTGTCCGCCCCATCCCATGCAGGGGAGCAAATGATGACTCTAGACGTCTCAGACCACGAGCTTGCATCCTACTTCTTCCGCGCCATCAAAGGCTTTGACATGGCGCATGCAGATGAGGATGAACGTCCGGGGGGCGGCTGTCCCTCGCCATCTCCTGAGGTGCGCATTGAGTGCTCTGGCGCCAGTACGTTTTGCGCCCCGGCCCGCAACGACGCTTGGCAGCTCATGTGTTCCACCCAGTGTTACGGCCCCACGGGGTGCCTCGCGGAGACATGCTCCAAGCTGTCGGCGACGGCTTCGGCGCGGCTCAGTGCTACGGGCCGATATACCAGCCTCCTGCTTTCCCCCCTTCCGGTCATCCAGTTAGTGCATGCAATGTTGGGTGTGCGGTTCTCTGCGACCAGTCCGGAAGCCCGAACCATTGACGTGCAGCTCCAGCGAGCACGCCGCAGCTCTCACTTGCAGAATCCACACTCCGCGTGTCTGACAGCCCTGGTGCATTGCCTTCTCGAGCATCGGCTCCGCGCGGCCTACCGTCCGTGGCTTTTCGGCAGGCAGCTACACGGCAGGCCTGGTGGGAGTGCTTCTTCGCAAATTATCAGGCGACAACCACTTCCCACCAGTGGGTCTGCCCGCCGCCTCCGGTGGCGTGTCGGCTGATGTTGCGACGCCAGCAGCCGTGGAGATTGGGGCCGTTGGCATGCCAGATTGGCTCTTCGCGGAACTCCTGAGCCTCCCGTGTCGGTTGCGCATCATCCATGCCAGCGAAGACTTTTTGTGCCCTTGGGTGCCTACCGAGTTTGCGCGGGCCGCCATACGGGCCGCCCCAGGTATACGTGTAGGAGGTATGCATTGGTTGAACAATGTACCGGCAGAGCTCTTCGGGCCTCAGTGCCACAACTACTCCCACCTGCTCCTGCGCACTAGCCCCGCCCTGCAGGCCCAGGTAGGTGGATGTTACCGCCGCCCGTGCTTTCCTCCCCTTGCGTAGCCTGGAGAAAGAACTGGAGTGGGCCTTCCACTCTCTTCACTTCTACCGTAGTCGGGGACTCGTAGATAGTGAGGTTGGCACAAGGTTATGGCTGCCCTCTTCCCGCACCGCGTCACCGAGGAGTCGCTCAAGCGGCTGGGCACCGTGGACTCCCTGCCGCAACGCCTCCTCGAGGCAGTCCGCACCGTCACAGCAGCCTCCCTGCCACACTGTGTTGCAGCGCTGCGTTCCTGGATCATTCAGGAAGTCACCTCTTAGATTCGGTTAGGTTATTTCCTAACTATTATCTTATTTGGGGTTTGTAGGTTATCTTTTGACTATTATCCTATTTTGAATAACCTTGAAAATAGTTTATTTAGAAAATAGGATATAGTCTATTTGATTAAATAACCTAGCAAATTCGAGTCTATTTACCAAAATAACCGAAGGTTATTTGTCAGATGGCATTGAAATTTTGTTGCCGAAAACTTGAAAACCTTGGGAAAAGCAGGAGCAGGCCAAACTTGTTTTTCCAAACGAGCACATGTTACTTAGAGAATGTTACCTAGGGATCATGTTCCACATGCTACTTAGACAGCTTTTTTCCTTGGTCGTCAGACCAGAACATGTTACTTATAGAGCACACATGTTACTTAAAGAATGTTACGTAGCGATCATGTTTCATGGTGCTGGGACAGCTGCTTCCCTTCTTGCCTGAACTGAACTGGCGGCGGCAGCAGAAGATTTTTTTCACACTCGGTCTCTGCTCAGTCTCAGGTGCGCCCCGAGCTTCTCAGTCTGCAGAGACTTTGCTCAGCCTCAGGTTCCAAGCCGCCCTGAGCTTGCTCACCATTTTCACCGTCACCGCCGGTCCTCTGAGTCCTCGGGCACAGCTGGCGGCCAAACTCCTGCTGACCTTTTGAAGGTCCTCGCCTTTGTAGCACCAAGTGAGTCTCGGGTTGATGTGGCGGCAAAGCAAAACCGTGTGCAAAAGCAGATGCAGCTTGGGTAAAGGGCTGAAAAGCTTGAGGCCTTCGGCCTCGAAGTGTGCCCCCAACTCCATATGAAGATTGCACATAGCGAAGGCATATTCGATGAAGTTGGTCGCCTGGGGCTCCGGGAAAGCAGTCTCGGCTCGGCACTCCTTCATGATCTTCTCCATGGCGATGTTCAGTCGCAAGTACGTCCTGATCTTGCAGTGCACAGCAAGATCAGGATGCATGTGCTCCTCCCAAAGTTCCAACAGGGGCTCGCCAAAAGCAGCAATCTGGCCCGCCCTGCCTTTCAGCTTGGGGCATTTTTTTTTTCCTCTGGAACATTGTGAGCTTGCGGAAGCCTCTATACCTCTCGGAGATTCCCAGTCTCTTGTACGAGGTAACGATTTTGTCCCAGCATTGTCCCAGATTTGTTAGTGGTGAGTCTGCCATGAGGTGACTCACCAACAAATCAAGGACCGACCCGAAGCTGATCTGATCTGCCCCCAAGTACTTGCAGTGCATGTAATCGTAGTGCACGTTCAATGGGGTGAGACCAGTGGCATTGGAGAAGATGGTGCTCGATGATCGCTCCGGGTATGCCAACCATGATTCCCTTGTCCATCCCAACGTGAGCCACCGAGCACTTGTTCGGCAATCATGCCAGCTCGAATCGGAATTGTCGCCTCTGCACTTGCAAAGGGCACACGGGGATGCTTTCGATCCGTAATGCGGCAACTGCAGCTTTTGCACCAAATATTCGGCATCGCCATTCAAACTCCAGATGATGCCTCGCAGTCCATTCGCCAGCGGCGTCCCGGCTCGACGGGCTTCCACGGTACCGGCGGGATACCTCGAAGTTTTTTTTCTCTGGGACTTTAGGACTGCCTGGCGACAATCGTTGCTGGTTGTTTGTCTTTAAAAGAATAGGAGTGACCTCCGAAAAGAAAAGTCAATGAAACTATGTAAGGGCCCTATTTTGCTGGCACATGTTCTGGGGTAGTAGGGTCTGCAACTTGGGAATGGAACCAAAATTGATTCCACGAATTCTATCTGCAAACAGGGTTTATCACAGAGCTTCACCCCTCAATCCTTGAAGACTTAGGAAACACGTTATAATGTGTATAGACAGAAACCAAAACGGACAGCAAAAGCTTGAATGAGTGGACTTGCACAGTTGCTTTGCACCCAAGTGGTTGGCTGCTGGCCAGACTCCACTGGCAAGGCAGGCAAACGACCAACAGATGATTCGGACAAATTCATCTGTCGTTTCTTTTCCAGCCTCGGTCTCATCGAAGCAAAACTACGATGGCATCATACTGTCCTTTGTCCACCCCTCTGCCAGAAGGCTGTTCCACGTGTACGAGGTCAGCTGCCTGCTCCAGATTTTCCCTATCCCCACCACAGGGGTGCCGTCCCCGTGTAGCTGTAAAGGCAGGGTATGCTCGGCATCGAAGGACTTCTTGCTGACGATCGGGTGGTTTCGCCAAGCGGGATGACCCGCCTTCTGAAGGCGCCAGAATTCTTTAAGTTTCTGAATACCTCCAGAAGGCATCATGAACTTTGCAAAGGCGGCTGGGTAAGAGTGGTAAAGATCAGAAAATACCACATGTGGAAGAAGCATCGTCTGAAGCAGTTTGTCCCAGGGTGGCTTGAAGCTCCTGGCTGGAAGATAGGGAAACCCTGGCAGGAATTATAATCTGGATTTCTTTCTCAGGGCTTAGAGATACTATACCCAGCAAACTACAAAAACAAAAGGTTCTAAGTATCCCTGAGGTTCATTTTGACAGCGAAGGGCTTCGAAAAAGCATTGTTCTTGTTGGCGATTTTCAGAATCTCCTTGTGCATATTATTCGGATACAGACCAGCAGATCCCAAGCCAGCTAAAGCAGCGACTTCGCTGGGCGGTGTCGCTCCGACAGCTTGAAAGTCCCTTTGGGAGGCAGCTGCCAGCTTTTGGACCACCTGAGGGCTCACTTCGCCCCACGACCATCGCTCCAACAGCTCATGTGCCAGATTGCTCGCAACAGGAGCTGCATCATTTCTGGCTTCAACTTTTTGGATCCTCTGCTGCACTCCACCTCGCCTCAACCGCTTTGGAGGGGGCTCCTCTGCCATTCCGGCACCGCACAGATTCTACCGAGGCTTCCTGTGGCTTAGAAATATATAATGGCATGTTGTTTTCACGGCCTGCCCTAGGTAACATGTGCTCTAGGTAGCATGTGGTATCAAGGAAATCTAGGTAACATGTGCTTTAGGTAACATCTGGCATCGAAGAAATCTAGGTAACATATGCTTTAGGTAACATGTGACATCGAAGAAATCTAGGCAACATGCGGTATGGCATCAATCAAAATTAGGTAGCATGTGCTCTAAGTAGCTGTATGGCACCAGAATCCAAACACTAGATCTTTCCTGTGACATGTGTTGCATAATAGATCAACTTTAAGTAACATGTGTCAGCACATATTTAATCATGTGTGCCATCTAAGTAACATTGGGACAGCAGTGTTCTATTCTCTTGCCACAAGCGAAGCTGCGACGACGGCATACAAAAAGGTTTTGTGATTATCGACATCAACACACAACTCGATGGGTCATTTTCTGAGGCACCGCACAGAATTATGTGTTGGGCTTCAGCGGGCTTAGACTGGGACTTTGATGCGGGGGGCATACTAAAAGGTTGTGTGACTAGGACCACCGAGCAAACCTCAACCGAATGTATGCACACAATGTTACTTAGAATTCTGAGTTGACCTTCAGCTGGGTTTGAGTGGGACTCTGATGCCGGGGGCATACTAAAAGGTTTTGTGAGTAGCAACACCAAGCAAACCTCAACAACAAGTTTTATGCATGCACAGCATGTTACTTAGATTATGTGTTGGGCTTCAGCGGGGTTTGACTGGGACTTTGATGCCGGGGGCATACACAGAGGTTTTCACTTTAGGAATACGAAGCATACCTCAACAACAATTTTTATGCATGCTCACAATGTTACTTAGAATTATGTGTTGGGCTTCAGCAAATTTTGACTGGGACTTTGATGCCGGGGGCATACACAGAGGTTTTCACTTTAGGAACACGAAGCATACCTCAACAACAATTTTTATGCATGCTCACAATGTTACTTAGAATTATGTGTTGGGCTTCAGCAAATTTTGACTGGGACTTTGATGCCGGGGGCATACACAGAGGTTTTCACTTTAGGAATACGAAGCATACCTCAACAACAATTTTTATGCATGCTCACAATGTTACTTAGAATTATGTGTTGGGCTTCAGCAAATTTTGACTGGGACTTTGATGCCGGGGGCATACACACAGGTTTTGACTCTACGAGCACGAAGCATACCTCAACAACAATTTTTATGCATGCACACACAATGTTACTTAGAATAAAGTGTTGGGCTTCAGCAAATGTTGATTGGGACTTTCATGCCGGGGGCATACACAGAGGTTTTGACTCTAAGAGCACGAAGCATACCTCAACAACAATTTTTATGCATGCAGACACAATGTTACTTAGAATCAAGTGTTGGGCTCCAGCGGGGTTTCGCTGGGACTGTCAGGCCGGGGGGGCATAGACAGAGGTTTTGACTCTAGGAACACAAATAAAACCTCAACCACATTTTTTATGTATGCACACTGAAACCCTGAGCGCTCAGAAACCCCAACCAACATAACACTGCTGAGCAGCAACCCAGCAGCATACATTGTTTTCGGATCTTGCTGCCAATGGTGCAACCAGGTGAAGCGGCACATGTTTCACAGAGCCCACAAAACTTGGACCCCCCGCAACACGATGTTCTCGGAAATTCGGACTCCAGTTTGTGCTGTTCATATGACAAGAGGGCCTGTGGGCGAGAACATCAGCTGCAAATAACAAGCCTCGTGCTATGCCACTATGAAACGTTGCACACACCACACCCCCGGAACTCGAGGCTTCTATACCCCAGGCTGCCCGGCAGCTTCTGAGGATGCTAAGAAAACTATCGCAGCACAGCTCCAATGCCAGGGCCACAGAGCAAACCCTTCGATCCCAAAATGGTATCATAAACTGTCATAAACCATACCCCTCTAGAACATCCACAAACGGGCAGCACCCCGAACCTCCAATGTGAAACCCTCTATGTTATTAACATCTTAGTGAACCCGAAAACCGTGGCATCTATAGCAAAGGATTTGCTGCAACAGAAGCAAAACTACAGACATGGCTACGTGTCTCGCCGACAACATGTCTTCATGGCCAGGGTGCCAATGCTGAACAACAACATTGTTACTTAGTTGCTAGAAAACAATTGATAACCGGAATGAAACCTAGTACCGAGTATGTTACTTAGCACGTTTCTCTTCATATCAAAATGCACATGATGAGCAAGACTCGGGATGGAATCACAGCTCCTTCCTTGCTTTCAAGAGGGCTTTGAATTTCTCGCACTCCTCGTTCAAGGAAACCGCCGTTTCGGAATGCTCACACATGTAGTCCTTGAAGGTTGCAGCGGTGAGGGGCCGCTCTGAGTCTGGGAACTCTTTCCATAGCAACAGGTGGTCGTCCCTGTCCATCCATGATTTCATAGCAAGCATGTGCGGCTTGAAGCTCTCCTTGTCCTTCGCTTGCGAGCATTTTGAAATCATCCTCATAGCAGCACTATGAAGCCGCTCCATCGCTCCTTTGGCGGCCTCCTCCAGCAAAGCTTGCTGGGACTCCGTGAACTGCTTGAGGACGGGGGGCTCCTTCGAGCTTGCTGCCTCTGCTGCGATAGCCTGGCGGGGCTGGTCATCTTGATCAAACGAAAAGGTCATGCCTCGGAAGGCCTTGTCGAGGGCCTGAAAGGTCTCGTCGGTGATCTCCTTGGCACCACTCTTCGCTTGGTGCTTGTCCTCCACCGTCTTGCCAATCCCGGCAACGGTTTGCCGATAGCCCGCGAACTCTACCCCATCCTGCAGCCACACCATCACCGTGCCCCTTGCAATGGAAGCATCCAAAGCCTTTTCATCGCCATGGTAGTCCCGGTGCAAAAGCACATCCTTTGGTGCCCCCATGGTTTCATTTCGACCAAACTTCTGATGCTTGGCCTGCTTCGTGGTCTCGAACACGGGCTTGTCGGATTTCATGATCAGCTTGCCTTTGTCGTTCTTGTCGAACAGCTCGTTGATCAGCTCCGTCTTGGCAGCACGGGTCTTCGCTTTGCTCAGAACCTCCTGAATGTGATCCGGGATTGCACCGGCATCGGACATTCTCTTGAATTTCCTGGCCTTGGCGAGGTCCCTCTTTTCGCCGCCCTGGTCGTCCTCCTCGTCGCCGTCCTGCTCCTCTGCCTCGGGCTCCTCCTTAGGCTTCTCGTGGGCCTCGGCTTTGTCCTCGGCTGCAAGCTTCCACTGCAAAGCCTTGTCAGCGAAGCTTTCCTGTCTGGTCACGTTCTTGTTGTTGTTGTTGTTGTCCACCTCCTTGAGCTGCTTCCCCGGCTTAGTTTTCTTGGCCTTCGGCTGGGGGGTAGCTTTGGCTGTGCTCTTGGCCTTGGGTGTTTTTGCTGGGGGCTTGCTCTCGGCTTTTGCTTTTGCTTTCGCCTTTGCTTTGGGGGAGGTCTGCGGCTTGCTCGGCTTGCTCTTGCTCTTGGGCTTGGCTGGGCTCTTTGGCTTGGGGCTCTTCTGCTCCTCCTTCTCCTGTGCCTCCTGCTCCTGTTCTGGGGCGGCCTCTGCTTCCGTCAACGGTTCGCCGTCGAGGTCAAGCTGAGCTGCCTTTCTCTTCAGGGAACCACTACCCTTAACAGCCATGGCTGGATCAGTCTTCTCGGAAGCCACCATCGCAGCTTGCCTGCGTACGGTATTATTTTCACGTGGAAAGTTTGATTTTGAAATCTTATTTCAAAATCAACGCTTGGAGTTTTCAAATGTCTCTTACATGTTAGTATGCAACTGTTGAGCCATGCGAAGATGCGAAATTCCAGTTGCCGTTGTGCTCTGAGGTAGAGCGCAATTTTTGTTTTCTGGGCCGCTAGAGGTTTTTAGTTCTTTCTAGCAGGCTCCGTGACCCCTGTAACCCGAGTTTTCGCCCTTAGGGCGTGTGCACGCTGGTGGCCGCAGGCCGCCAGCAGATGGACATCGACTCCTCGGATTACGAGGGGTCTGAGGCCAGTACCCTCTCTTTGGTCAGTCGGCACGTAAACCGCTTGCAGCTCGATCTCAACACCTTGAGGGCGCACGTTGCTGCGTGCGAGCGGCGCATCAGGGCCCTGGAGCAGCAGGCTCCTCTTCCGACGCCTGCGCCGGTGCAGTTTAGTTTCTTTGGGTCCTTCTTTCAGTGCTGCCTTGGTCGCCAGCTGCAATGAGCGGGCCTTCTGCTGATGGTGATTCCGAAGTTTCCAGCGGGTTTCAGGTTGTGTCCGCCTCTGCTGCTGCTTCTGGTAGCGCAGGGGGTGTGACGGCAGCAGCTTCAGAGTCAGACTTGTCCAATCTTCGAGATAACATGGATGTGACGGCAGCAGCTCCAGAACCAGACTTGTCAAAGCTTCAAGAGACCATTCGCGAAGCAATCTTCTCGTGCAGTGAGCCGCAGGTTCTGCAGTTGCCTTGGGAAATGCCGGGTTTGAATTTGATTTTTGGCAAGGGTGCTTTAGATCAGATTCTGCCTGCTGAGCCTCCCAAAATCGTGTTCCCAGTCCCCACAGCGGAAGATGCTCCGATTGAAGAACAGGCCAAGGCTGCAAAGAGGGTTAAGACTGCCGCTTTCGGGCAGCCTTGCTTCCGTGGGTGTGTGAACTTCAAGAACGTCCTTTCGGATGCTGAGCTTGAAGCTGGAGCGTGGCAGAGATCTCTTGAGAAGTGGCATTTTCTTTTGACCTTAGATCCTTCGGTTTCGCTTGTGGGTTCTTCCTTGGCCGGCATGGGAACTGCTGATGGCATGCAGTCCCTACGCGAACTGTTTGGGAGGAAGAAGGTAGCCACTGTGAGTAAGCGTTCGGCTTCTTTGCTTAAGTACGTAAAGTTCATGCAGGAGTGTCGGCCTTTTTCAGGCCCCTTTCCTTTTACTACTGAAAAATGCGATGAGTATGTCAGGCACTTGAGGGCTTGTGAGGCTAAAGTCGGAGCTGTTGACGGGTTCACTGAATCTGTGAGATTCGCGATCCACGTTGTAGGGGTCAGTTGCCGCGGTCCTGCCGACAAAATCTTTAGCCCTTGGTCGATTGGTCTTAAAGGCCTCATGCAATCGCAGAAGGCAGAGCGTGTGAGTGCACTTGTCTTGTCTGTGGAGCAAGTCTCTTTCCTCGAGGCGTGCTTGGGTAACGCAGAACTTGATGCCAAGGACCGTTATGCTTGTGGCGCTTTCTTGTTTTGCATCTATAGCAGGAGCCGAGTCAGTGATGTGAAGCAAATCCACAGGTGCATAGTGGACACTGTGGACGCAGCTGGGGAAATTCAGGGTTTTCTCGAATGTGGTACTCGGGTGCATAAGTCCGCCAGGCAAGCAGCCGTGCAGGGAGTTTCTATGCCTTTAGTCGCTCCTGTCTGGGGTGTTGGACCAGAGCCTTGGGGACCCAAGTTCGTGGCAATCGCAGCTGAAGTTGGTTTAGCGTTCGATTCGGCTCGCGCGGGGCCGCTTCTTCCAGCACCACTGGAGTCAGGCGAGTGGGGCCAGAGAGCAGTGACCACAGATGAGGCTGGGCAGTGGCTTCGTGCGCTACTCAGCCGATGCAACAAATGCTCCGATGGTGTGTCAGGGCATTCGCTTAAGGCTACCACTCTTGATTGGTGCGGCAAATATGGAGTCAGCGAGCAAGCTCAAACCCTTCTTGGTCACCATGCCCTCAAGGGTTCGTCTATGTATGCTTATATGCGAGACAAGCTTGCGGCACCACTGAGAGCTTATGACGGAATGCTCCGAAGCATTCGGCATGGTCTTTTCATTGCAGATGCAACTCGTTCTGGGTTATTCAAAGCTGAAGGTGAGGCTCATGTCATGGAGCTCGGCCATGAGCCCAGGCTCAGCACGGCCACTCCTCACTTGCATGATGGTGGGGTTTTCGGAGATGAGACCCCTGTTGGGTCTGAAGGCGAGGCCCAGCACTATAGCAAGGCTGCATGGACGCCTGAACGGGAGGCTCAGTCTTTCCTTGATAATCAATTCACGGGCGAAGCTGAGGACGAGGCTGATGGAGTTGAGAGTGGGGCCCCTGAGCCCGCGCCAGGTTCTTCGTCTTCTTCATCGTCGAGCGACTCGGACAGTTCCGATGGGGAGCCCGGGACTGACTGGGTCGATGCCTTCGATTCTGGGCTCGGGGGTTCCTTTGAGAAGTCTAACCTCACTGCGCCTGACATGGAATTTTGGAGACATGATAAAACTATGACCATCCACTCCATTGCGGTTGGTGCTTCTGGAGGTGTGTTCACTTGTGGTCGTAAGAGAACAGGTGATTACTCAAAGGTGACGCAAAGCGCTTTTCTGGAGACTCGTCTTTGTGTCAATTGCAAGAAGAGCAAACCTTTGAGAGACATCGGATCTTTGAATGCTGTGTTCGCTAAAAGCTTGAAACGATGATTTCTATGCCACGGCCTGAGTTGCTCCACAAAGAGTGGTTGCCGGGAAGTCCGGCCGACTCAAGGTTGGGTGCGAGGTGCACCCAGCTCAGTCTGTCAAACAGTCGAGCATCCCTCTTGGGCTGCGATGTGCAGCCCAAGGGATTTCGTGGCCAGTTCGAGTGAGCCAACCCTGGACTCCGGGAGGTTCGAGGGCTCGAGCTGCGAGGTGCAGTGCGGGCAAAATTTTTGCGGAGTGCGAAAGGAGAGCCAAATGGATGCACGAGGCACCTGGGGGCTTGATCGAGCGTTGTGTCGAACTTGCTGTGGCAGCATATGCAGATTTCTGACTTGCGTGTTTTTTTTTTGCGCTCAAGATTTTTTTAATTTTCGTGAACCGGGCAGATTGCGAGGTGCAATGGCAGGGTGACCCTCTGCAAGAGCTGATCCTTGACATGTATTCTGATGTTACGCAGCGAACGACAGTTCATACGGTCATGCCCAGCACCCTACAGGGAACTGATGCTCACACCCAATTTGTTTACATGCATGCCCTTGGAGGTATGTCAACTTGTGTCCATTGTCGCAGGCAGTGCAAAACGTGGCAGGATCTTAATCTGCACATTACTTCACGCTCGTGCAGAGTATTGTTTCCAGATGGTCTCACTATCCAAGTCCCTACTCACAATCCTAACTCTGTCCCTGCTGCCTACGATACGGCATGCCTCCAAAAATTTCGACATGGTTGGGAGCTTGGTGCCAAATGGATTGCCTCACAGGGTGAAAAGTGGCTACATCATTGCCCGTGGTGTACGCAGTGGATTGTAGACACGAAGGCATTGCACATTCACATATCTGCTAAGCATCCTTGGCTGGAAAAGTGTTTTATGCAGGCCAAGTTGTGGCAGTTTCAGCAGCGGAAGGCCTTAGTCCTGAGTTCCCCCTGTCGCTACTGCTGCAGAGCCTACAGAGGCCATTCAACTCGGCATGCCACGGAGTGTAAATCCATACTATTTGCACGTATGCTGACGACGCAGCAGCATGATACCATCACTTGTTCTGCCCAGGCGCATGACGCTCAGTCCCGAAGAGCAGGCGAAGCAGGACCTTGCGGAGGCCACCATGGAGCTGAGCTTGCTCGCGTCCAACCTACGTCAGAGTGGGGGCTTGCAGAGCAGCCTTCTGGGAACCCAGTTGGGCTTCACAGGTACTGGCCAAGAAGCCGAGGAGCGCCCGGCGAAGTACTCCAAAGACTTGAACAAAGGTCCGGATGGGAAGGGCAGAGGAGCGAATGGCAGGCTGAAGCGCCAATACCAGCCTCGCGGAAATCAGGCAGCACGGGAGACAGGAACATCCTCCACTGGCTTGGTGCTGTCCCCAGAGACCATCCAGATGCTCATCAAGTTGCTGCTCCGCCACGAGGACCAGTTGGCCACGTTCAGGTTGTCGACAGCATGGGTGTTCTTCCTCTCGGCAGAGAAGCCGGTGGAGATCCTCGAGACGCTCTACGCAACTGCGACGCAGTGGCGCCATCAGAAGCTCAACGATCCTGCCTCTTTGAAGAACCCGATGAGAGTGATACTCTTTCAGGCTACCTGGAAGGAGATGTACACGCGCGCAGAGAACATTCGCACCAAGGAGGACGCCAAGCAGACGGCCGTAGACATGGGCATCTACGACGAGGCCAAGGGCTTCCCGTACCAGATCTGGAACCCCAAGGAACAGAAAGCTCAGACCGACGAGACCAGGGACCCGCTGCCGCTGGACAAGGTGCTGGCGCTGACGGCCGAGTTGATGAAGCTGGCGGCGGGCAATGGCGTCATCACGCGGTACCACTGCACGCGCCCCCTGACGGAGGAGATGAAGGGCACCATGACCACGTGGCTCATGGAAGTGGGATTGCGAGATGCCGGATGCAATCGCATTTGGGAGATCTTGTCCATCCTGAAGGGCAATGCATCGATGAAGCTGATTGGAGGGGCCGTCCGCGAGGAGCGTCTCCAGCGCACGCCACTCGCCCAGGCGCTTGCGCAGCAGCTGACGAGGCAGCACGAAAGCGTCTGTTGCAACTAAGGCTGCATAATCCCTCCAATTTCTGCTACTCCCACTCCTGTCTTCTTGCATACCTGTGGACGGCCACTGCTGTTGCACCCATTCAGCAGGCAGTGAAGCATCAGGCTGTCCTTCAGCTGCTACAGGCCGCTCTGTCCTCCGTTCGGCCTGTTCACCTGTGGAGTCATATCCAGTGGCGACAGGCCTTCAGGGCCTGGTCGGCACCGAGCAGGCAGCAC